TTTTTTTCCCCTTCCCTCCCGCCGCCGCTCGTTTCCTCGTCCTCGGCTCCTTCGGGTCACATTTCCCCCTTTTTTTTTATTTACCGAATTTCGTATTTCCCAGTTTTCACAAAATTTTGGTCCATATTTACCCATTTTCCCCAAATTTCAGTTCAAATCCCCTCTTTTTCCCCAAATTTCGGTTCGTATTTCCCCATTTCCCCAAATTTCGGTTCCTATCTCTCCTTTTTCCCCACATTTTAGTTGATATTTCTGCTTTTCTCCCCACATTTCCGTTCACGTTTCCCCTTTTCCCCACAGTTTCAGCTCATATTCCCCCATTTTCCCAACATTTGGGTCCCTGTTTCCCCTCCTCCCAAAATTTCGGTTCCTGTCTCTCCTTTTTCCTCCCATTTCGGTTCATTTCTTTCCTTTTTCCCAACACTTTGGTCCATATTTCCCCTTCTTCCCAATATTCTGAATCGTATTTCCCCCATTTTCCCCCACATTTCAGTATTTCCTCATTTTCCCAACATTTTCCTCCATGTTTTACCTTCTTCCAAAAAAAATTTTGGGTCGCATCTCTCCATTTTCCCAAAATCTCAGTCCATATTCCCTCATTTTCCCAACTTTTTGGTCCATATTTCCCCGTTTTCCCAACATTTTAGTCCCTATTTCCCACTTTCCCAACATTTGGGTCCCTATGTTCCCAATTTCCCATCATTTTGGTTCACATTTTTCCCATTTCCCATCATTTTGCTCCATATTTTCCCCCATTCCCCCAAATTCCAGCTCATATTTCCCCATTTTCCATCATTTTGGTCCCTATTTCCCCCATTCCCCCAAATTCCAGCTCACATTTCCCCATTTCCCACCATTTTGCTCCATATTTCCTTTCTTATTTCTTATTTTGGGGGCAGATTCTCATTTTCAGCTCTTTTCGGGCTTTGCTGGCAGGAATTAAACAAAAAAAAAACCCCTAAAAAAAACCCTAAACCCCAATAAGCCCCAAAAGCAGCGGGGAGGGGGAGCACAGCGGGGTGGCAGCGCAGTTTGGGGTGATTTCCTTCAGATTTGGGATTCGGGTGGAATTCCCTTTTATTCCCCCCCCCCCTTTCGTGTCGGAGGCTGAGTTACAAAAGAGATGGGAGAAAATGATATCAAATATATATTTTATAGAGAGATTAAAAAACAAAAAAACAAACAAAAAAAAAAACACCCAAAAAACGCCAACGCCCTTTCAGCACTTTACTGGGAAATTAATGGAGAATGTAAGAAATAATCGTGTAAAATGCAAATAAAGAAGTTTATTAACCATTCATTACCGCCCTGCGCTTCATTGCCCCGATGCTCCCTGATGGGGGCTGCACAAATCCAGGGTCCAGAGCCCCACTTTTGGGTCTAAACGGCCTTTTTTTTGGGCCCAAACCCTGGAATTCAGGGCCCAAATCCCAATTTTTGGCCCGAACCCCTGATTTTGGGTCTCAAACCCCTGATTTTGGGTCTCAAACCCCTGATTTTGGGGCTCAAATCCCTGATTTTGAGTCTCAAACACCTGATTTTGGGTCCCAAATCCCACATTTTGTGCTTCAAATCCCTGATTTGGGGTCTGAAATCCCTGGTTTTGGGTCCCAAACGCCTGATTTTAAGAGCTCAAATCCCCATTTTTGCACTCAAGCCTGCAATGCTGGGCCCCAAATCCCTGATTCTGGGACTCAATTCCCTGATTTTGGGGCTCAAACCCCTTATTTTGAGTCTCAAACCCCTGATTTTGGGGCTCAAACCCCTGATTTTGGGGCTCAAATCCCTGATTTTGGGTCCCAGATCCCTCATTTTGAGTCCCAAATCCCTGATTTTGAGTCTCAAATACCTGATTTTGAGTCTCAAATACCTGATTTTGGGTCTCAAATTCCTGATTTAGGGTCCCAGATCCCTGATTTTGGGTCCCAAACGCCCAATTTTAAGAGCTCAAATCCCCATTTTTGCACCGAAGCTGTGATGTTGGCTCTCAAATGCCGTATTTAGGGCCCAAACCCCCATTTTTAGGCCCATACCCCAGATTCTGGGTCTCAAATGCTCCATTTTGTGGACAAAATCCCCATTTTGGGGCCCAAACCATCGATTTTAGGTTTGAAATCCAAAATTCTAAGGGCCCAAATCCCCATTTTTTGTCCCAAACCTCCAGATTTTATGTCTCAAGCACCAATTTTTAATGGCCAAAACCCCATTTTGGGGTCAAAACCCCAAATTTTGTGTCTCAAAACCCTTTTTTTAAGCTTCCAAACCCATTTTGGGTCAAATTTCCCCTCTTCCCGTTAAAAAAAATCCCAAATTTTCATTTTTCAACCCCGTTTTGGAGCCACCTCTCATCGTTCTGCCCCCAATCCTCACTTTTCGAAGCCCAGAGTTCCGTTTTGGGGCCAAAAATGTCTTTTTTTCAACCCAAACCCCACATTTCGGATATTTAGCCCCTCATTTTGGGGCCATTTGGGGTCATTTATGGTTTGGGGGGGGGCAGTTCTGGGGTTCTTTGGGGCCATCTCAGCTCTGGGAACAGCGAAACCTGCGCTTAATGAGTCCCCGTCTCCCTCAGCGCCCGGCGGGGGTGTTAATGAGCCTTAATTAGAGGCGGGGCGCCCGCAGACGTTAATTACAGGCGCCGCGCGGCTGTTAATTACAGGGGAGCGCCGTGCGGGGGTGGCGAGCGCTGCGAGCGGCGGAAAGAGCCGAGCGGGGGCGGAAAAAGCCGATGGGGGAGGGGGGAAGAGCCCAGGACGGCCGGAAAGAGCCGAGCGATTCCGGAAAGAGCCGAAGTGAGCGGGGGAAGGACGGGAGAGCCCCGGAGGGCCGGAAAGAGCCGAGCGATTCCGGAAAGAGCCGAGAAGAACCGGAAAGGGCCGAGAGGGACCGGAAGAAGCCGAGTGGGGGCGGCAGAAGACGAAAGGGGCCGAAAAGAGCCGAGCGGGGACGGAAAGGGCCGAACGCTTCCGGAAGGAGCCGAGTGGGGACGAAAGAAACGAAGAGAGAACGGAAAGAGCCCAGCTCTTCCGGAAAGGGCCGAGAAGGAAGCGGGAGAAGCCGACGGGGAACGGAAAGAGCCGAGCGGGGCCGAAGAAATCGAGCGCTTCCGGAAGCAGCCGAGCGGAAACGGAAAAGACCAAACCGGGGACCGGAAGCAGAAGTCTCCCGCACGGCCGAGCCAAGATGGCGGCCGCCTGCGATCACTGCGGGGCCGCCGGCGCTCCGTACACGTGTCCCCGCTGCAACCGCCACCTCTGCTCCCTCGGCTGCTACCGCGGGCACGGGGCCTGCGCCGAGGCCTTCTACCGCGAGCAGGTGCTGCGGGAATTGAGCTCCCAACCGCCTCCGGAGCCGTCCGACAGGGCCCGGCTGCGGGACGCCATGGGGAGGCTGCGGGACGGCGCGGGGTGGGGAGAAGAGCGCGGGTTGTGGGGGCGGCTGAGCGAGGAGCAAAAGGCCGAATTCCGGAGGATGCTGAAAAACGGGGAGGCCGCCCGGCTGCTGCCTCCGTGGAGGCCGTGGTGGTGGGGGAGGAGGAGGCTGGTGGAGGAGATCGGGGAAGGGGGAGGGGAAGAGGGCTGGGCGGCCGGGGCGGAGAAGGGGACCAGCAGTAACGGCGCGGCGGCCATCGAAGGCACAGACAGCAAGGAGGAGGACGGTGTGGCCGATAAGAGCACGGCCAGCGTGGGCAATGAGAGGTACGGCAGGGTGGCCAAAAAGGGCACAGCCAGGGTGGACAAGGAGAAAACAGCCAAGGTGGTCGATGAGAGGATGGCCAATGCAGCCCATGTGGCCAATGAGACTGAAGCCAGTGTGGCCAACATGGTTGGTGAGACTGAAGCCGATATGGCCAATGAGAGGACAGCCAGTGCGGCCAGCAGAGCCAATGAGAGGACAGCCAGCATGGCCAAAAAAGGCACAGCCAGTGTGGCCAGCAAGGGGACAGCCAGTATGGCCAGCGTAGCCAATGAGAGGACAGCCATTGTGGCCATCGTGGTCAGTGAGACTGATGCCAGTGTGGCCAACGAGAGGACAGCCAACGTGGCCAAAAAGGGCACAGCCAAGATGGCTGACAAGAGCAAAGACTTCACGGCCAACATGGCTGACAAGAGCGAAGTCTTCGTGGCCAGCAAGAGTGAGAACATAAGGAAGGAGGAGGAGGAAAGCAAGAAGCTGGAGTGCAGGGACACCAGTGACAATGGGGGCAGTGGTGGCAGTGGGGTCAGCAATGACATTGGGGTCAGTGGTGACAACAGGGTCACCAATGATGGCGAGGACGGCGATGACAACGGTGTCACCAATGACAATGGGGTCAGTGGTGGCAATGGGGTCACCGATGACAACGGAGTCACCAGTGATGACGAGGACGGCGATGACAACAGGGCCAGTGGTGGCAGTGGGGTCACCAATGACAGCGGTGTCATTGGTGGCAGTGGGGTCACCATTGACGATGAGGACAGCGATGACAATGGGGTCAGCAGTGACAACGGTGTCACCGAGGACGGCGCCAACGCCGGTGACACCGATGGGGACGGCGATGATGACGACGCCGGCATTCCGGGCCCGATGCCCCCCACCCCCACCTCGGTGCCCCCCCTCAGCTCTTTCCGTGCTCCCACCCCGTCCCCGTTGCTGCGCTTCCAGCTTCCCAACGTTCTCTATGGTTACGCCTTCGCCCTCAGCCTCCATGTGGGGGACGATTCCTTCCTCCCGGATGTCGCCATGGCCGCCATGGCCGTCTCAGCAGCTCTGCGTTGCCGTCGGCCCTTCTCCTCCACCATGGAGGCTCTGCTGGATGCCCGGCGCTCGGCCGAAGCCGCCGGTTACCCTCGGTGTCCTTTGGGCGACACTGGTGTCGTCGCGGCCGTGGCTGAGCTGATGAGGGGACGCAGCCGGCATCGACCCACCGAGGACGTGGAGACGGCATTGCATCACATGGAGGTGATGCTGGAGAGGGCGGGCAGGATGGAAAGTGGGGAGGAAAGGAAAAGGTTGGGCCGAGCGCGGAGGAAATGTCGCTTCCTGCTGGCCTGGAGTCGGGAGAGAGGAGCGGCTGCGCTGCGGGAGATGGCGGCTGAAGCGGAGGAGCTGAGCGCCAAAATGGCGGCGGGGGGGAGGGGGCTGGGGGGGGGGGGAGAGGGAGCAGAGAGAGGAGGAGCCATGGAGATGGGAAGCGTAGAGAGGGGAAACAGAGGGGAACCCTGGAAAGGGGAAACAGGGAGGGGAAGTGGGGAGAGAGGAACCCATGGAGATGGGAAGCGTAAAGAGGGGAACCAGGAGAGAGGAATCCATGGAGGTGGGAAGCAAGGAAAGGGGAACCAGGGAGAGAGGAAACCAGAAAGGAAAGCATGGAGATGGGAACCCATAGAGATGGGAACCATGGAAAGGGGAACCAGAGAGAGAGGGACCATAGAGAGACAGGAACCATGGAGACAGAAACCATGGAGATGGGAGCCATAGAGAGCAGAACCATAGAAAGGGGAACCAGAGAGAGGGGAAGCCATGGAGATTGGAACCAGAGAGACACAGGAACCATGGAGACAGAAACCATGGAGATGGGAACCAGAGAGAGCAGAACCATAGAAAGGGGAACCAGAGAGGGGAATCAGAGAGAGAGGAAACACTGAGATGGGAACTCATGGAAATGGGAACCATGGAAAGGGGATTCAGAGAGAGGGGAACCATGGAGATGGGAACCAGAGAGAGCAGAACCATGGAGGTGGGATCCAGAAGGAGGGGAATCAAAGAGGGGGGAACCAGAGCCCTGCCCCTCCTGCAGGGTCAGAAGATCACAGCGAGGAAGACTCCGATTCTTCATCCCACAAGCACCCGGAGGAATCCCCCCCACCTCTGCAGGCGTGAGGGGGAGGGCATGCATGCTAATGAAATCTAATAAATGCGTCTCCCAGTGCCTGCAAAGTGAGGGGTGATGGATCGGCTGCTGCCCACAGCTTCCTGCTCCCAGGGTGCAGCTTTGCTGGAGCTCTGCTCCTGCACTGCGGCTGGGGGGGGGGGTCGAGTTCTGCGTGCCCCCACCAAAGCCACGCCCACAACCGATCCCTGACCACGCCCCCTACCAAAAGCCACGCCTACGACCATTCCCGGGTGCCAGCGTAGCCTCACGCCACGCCCATATCACCTCAGGCCACGCCCACAACCAAAGACACGCAACTAATCACTGACCACGCCCACATAACGTCAGGCCACGCCCCCTACCAAAAGCCACGCCTACGACCTTTCCCTGACACCAGTGAGGCACAAGGGGCACTCTGTGGAAGGACTGGGGGCAGGGTGGGGGTCCCGGCTTTAAATCCACCCCCGACTCCGCCTCAGGACAGGGTCAGCATCCCGTGATGCAAGCCCCGCCCCCTCGTGCAAGCCTAGCCTCCTTCCGTGAGAGCAACCAGCGCTAGTCCTCCACGCCGCCAGGGGGCGCCTTAGTGCGACCTCCGCACTCCCTCACCATGATCGGCATCTCGCTCAACCAATGGCAGAGGTGGAAAATTCCAGAAGGCGATGGAGAGGTTCCACCAATGGGGTGGCGTGAACTTTTCCTCCACAGCCAATCGGCGCGCGGGGCGGCCCTCACTTCCGGCTTCCGGCAGGGAGGCGGAGCGCGAGGGGGCGGGATCTGTTTCTCCCTCATTCCAATCGCGAGCCTCACCGCTCGCGGATAGCCAATGGAAAGGCGCGTGGGCGCCGGCGGGCCAATGGGGGCCGGGAGGCGGGGCCGGAGGCTTCTAGCAACTTCCAGAAGGCGGCGCGCGGCGGCAGGCGCGGAGCGGAGCGGGTCGGGAACGGAGGCGCCATGGAGGAGGTGGGGGCGGCGCTGTCGAGGGTGGAGCGGGGAGGAACGGGGGGGTCCTGGGGAGAGGGGTGGGGGCGCCGGCGGGCCAATGG